TAGCACTGGGCAGGGTGCAAACTAGGAAAGAAAAAAAAGAAGTGATAAAGGAAATCACATCACAAACAAGGAAAAACTTCCAGAAAATAAAATCACACATTTTCCTCTGTCTATACTAAAAGTAGAAATTCCCCTGTTCTTCTCCAAGGCCTCTGCCTCTCAATTTCCCTGCATTTTTTTCTGCACTTTTGTGCATGTTTATTTCTCTTTCATACATCTTCAACCTCCCCATTCTTTTCATCTCAATATATATATGCTCAAATTTATTCTATTTTAAAAAGAAAAACGTGAGGTGCCTGGTTGGCTCAGTCAGCGTCTGCCTTCAGCTCAGATCATGATCCCAGGGTCCTGGGATGGAGCCCCACATTGGGCTCTCTCAGCGGGGAGTCTGCTTCTCCTTCTGTTCCTTCACCACCCACTCGTGCTCTCTCTCTCACTCGCTTGCTTACTCTCTCTCTCAAATAAATAAATAAAATCTTAAAAAAAAAGAAAGGAAAATTTTGTTAATCCTGAAACTACTCCATGTGGCACCAGACACTTCAGCTATTCTCAGTAACCCTTGAGGTGGAAAAATGAATTAGAGCAGCCTTCTGAATCTCACTTTCACCCCTCCACCAAAACTCTTATCCTCAGGACCACCAAAGTTCACCTTCCTTCCCAATTCAGGAAAATCTCTAGGTCCTTTTACCACACTTGCTGCAGAATTTAATCTCTACATTAAATGTCCTACTTGTTTCCCATACATTATTCTCTCCTAATTACTCTTCTTCCTCTCCAGTTATTTTCCTTTGAGTCTGCTCTTCATCCACCCAGGCTTAAATGTTGACTTTACTCAGGATTCCAACCCCAGTCCCTGCTCTTACTTGTTACACTGGGCAGTTGAATCTATAAACACTCTTCACCAATAGTATGGTCTGTGCTAATAATTTCCAAACCACTGTAGACCTGTCTCAGAGGTATAGGCCCAGATCACTGACCTTGTATTAGGGCATCTCTATCTGAATGTCACTTAGGCATCTCAAAATTTAACCTGTCCAAGATAAATTATGGCCTTTTCTCCAAAGCTTGTTACTCTTTCTATATTTCCTCTTTCAGTCAATGACATCACTGTTCACCCCAAATCTAAAGCCTAGGAAACTCCTCCTCCACATCCCAAATATTCTACTTACTGTTTACTATCACCTTTCAACTGAACAATTACACTTGCCTTGTAACTGAACTCCATCTCTGTTCTCAACCCTCTTCAATCTATCTCTATGTTGATGCCAAGTGAATGCCTAAAAGCACAAATCTAATCACGTCATGTATGGTGTTCAAAATCTTCACGCTTTAATCCAAAACCCTTGTACTTCAGGACTTCATAATTTGACCCCTGCCTTTGTCTTTATCTTTATATTCTATCACTTCATAGTACTGCACCTACAGTTAACCTGATCCAAACTACCAGTCATTTCTTGGATTCGTGATCATTCCTTTTGAGATGTCATACTAACTATTCCTTGCCCAAAATATCCTTCTTTCACTCAACTTCCAGCTCAGCTCAGACTCACTTTTTCTATAAAGCCTTTCTTAAATATCACAAGCTGAAAGCAACATTCCTCCTGAATTGCTATTATAGCTAGTATACACCTCAGTTATAATACTATTAATTGTTTATCTTTCCCATACTTATTTCCTTGAGGGGAGCATAGTTTGGCATTTTGTAAATATTTGATGAAGAAGCTTAAACAACAGGACAACTCCATTTTCAAATATTCTATAAAAAAACAGAAGTGAAAAGAAGTCACAAACTTACAACTGGTCCATCCAGAAGGAAGCTTGCATTTGACCAAATGAGCAAGCAGTAAGTTCTAGAATACACGTTATCCTATTCATCTGGACCTTAACAGCATTAACAGCTTCCCAGGTTTAAAAAAAAAAAGGTAACCATTATTGTAATCCTGAATCCCTAACCTAGAGCACATATGATAAAGCGAAGCTCTAAAGAGTTAAAGATTTAAAAGGTCAGGTATCTCATATTGTCAAGATGTCCATTCTTCCCAACTTGATCTATAGATTCAATGCAATCCCAATCAAAATCCCAACAAGTTATTTTGTGGATATCAACAACTGATTCTAAAGTTTATATGGAGAAGGAAAAGACCCAGAATAATCAACACAATATTAAAGAAAAACAAAGTTGGAGGGCTGATACCATCCAACTTTAAGACTTAATATAAAACTATAGTAATCAAGACAGTGTGGTATTGGTGAAAAAATAGATAATGCAACAGGGGAACAGAATAGAGAGCCAGAAAAAAGCCACATATATAATCAATTGATCTTTGACAAAGGAGCTAAGGCAATGCAATAGAGCAAAGATAGTCTTTTCCATAAATGGTACCAGAACAACCAGACACCCACATGCAAAAACATGAATCTAGACAAAAACCTTACATTCACAACAAAAATTGATATTCATAACAGCTTTTTTCATAACTGCCAAAACTTGGAAGCAACCAAAATATCCTTCAGAGGTGAATGTATAAATAAACCATGGTACATCCAAACAATGGAATATAATTCAGCACTAAAAAGAAATGAGCTGTCGAGCCATGAAAAGACATGGAGAAACTTTAAATGCATATTGCTAAGTGAAAGAAGCCAATATGAAAAGGCTACATACCGTATGATTCCACCTAAATGATTCTGGAAAAGGCAAACTATGGAGACAGTAGAAGGATCAGTGGTTGCCAAGGGTGGAGCATACGAGTGGGGTAGATGAAAAGGCAGAGCACAGAGGATTTTTAGGGCAGTGAAAATACTCTGTATGATGCTATATTGATGGACCATGTCATTATACATTTGTTCAAACCCACAGAATGTACAACACCAAGAATGAACTGTAATGTAAACTATGGACTTTGGGTAATTATGAATGTGTCAATGCAGGTTCATCAACTATAACAAACGTAGCACTCTGATGGTGGATGTTAATATGGAGGTTATGCTTATTTGGGGGCAGAAGGTAGATTTCTGTACCTTCCCCTTAACTGTGTTGTGAATCTACTAAAAACTGCTCTAAAAAAATATTCTAATTAAAAAAGGGGAAAGAAAATCAAAGGGACCTCTGAAACAGTTAACAACAACAAAAAAATGTCAAGCATCTGCTGGATTTAAGGCCCACAGTCATGGCTGGCTATTCATAATGACCAGGAAAGCTTAAGATCTGGGCAGTTTTCTGAAGGAGTGGATCCATAGCTTTTCATCAGTTCTCAGAGGATCCTATAATCTCAAAATCATTAAGAACTACTTATTGACATAGATGAAGTAGGCACCTCAAAGGGTTTGTTAGTAGTTTCAGGAGAGAAAATTTAAAAAACTGAAAATACTGCACCCATATATTTTGCACGTGCTACATTTAAATTGAAAAGACTATAAAATACGTATGTGCCCATTATTTACCATTTCTTTGATATCTCCAACTATGCACAAATTAAAATTAGTTAAAATACCAAAGCCACAGAGGAAGGGCTCTCCTGGATCTTAGAGCCATAGAAAAAGGAAGAGCAATGGCAGATTTAAGAGCTATATCTTCTGATAGTTAAGACCGAAAAAGCTCAAGTATTCAGTAGGTATTATCAACTACCAACAGTATGAAAATAGGTTAAATTCATAAAAAATGGAGCAAAAGAGAAATCAGTGCAAGAAATAAAATTAATTCTTTAATGGAAATTTTCAAAATTTTCACTTTGTTAGCCCACTAATCCAATAGGGACAGACTCCTAAAATGGTTTCTTAGGCTACTTTGCAGACGTAACTGGAAACATACAAAATATAAGGTGTTAACAGGTGTGGAGACTCAATTAGATTCAGCAAACAGCTAAATTTTTACAATATAGATCTAGATATCATAAATACATACTATGTAAAATAAAAAATTGACTTTTATAATATATATTACAACAGCTCAGTCTTAAACCCCAGGAAAACAGCACAGTGTTAGTGCTTAACTGCAATAAACCGTTGTTCCAAATACAGGAACAGCTCTGAGCCAAAGGACTGCACCTGTTCCTGCCATACATATGTGAGACAAACAAGGGAAACCCACAACCACAACTGATCAAGTGCGGTTCCATTCACCACAGAACCTCCGGTTAAGGCATGTTTTCAGGAGAGAGGTTAAAAAGATGATGGCATTAAATAACGTGCCAAGGAAACCATGCGCATGGCACAAGAAGACAGCTTTTGATTTTCTCTTTTAATTAAGATGCTGAGAGATGAATATATAAGGCACTGAACAGAAAATGCTTCTAAACTGAAGAAATACAAACAAACAGCCTAGCTTATCCATGCAGACACCTGAACCGCCACTGCTGGTGCAGAGAAGTCACAGATCTGGACATATTGGTACTACAGTGAAATTTATAAGCTCTGCTATCAACTGGGTCTTCAATATAGTCTGATGGTCTTTTTTGTGTTCCTACACGGTTCTATCCCTGAATCTATATTGAACTATTTCAGTTTTTCTTCTGAACTATCCTTCACTGTCCTAAAAATTCACCACTGCCTCTACCTTCAGTATCCTCAGGTTTAGATGAGATCATGAGGGTCTAAAAGCCAGGAAGAAAGACCTCACCAGAAACAAACCATGCTAGCAGCGTGATCTTGGATGTCCAGCTTCCGGAAATGTGACAAAAGAAATTTATGTTGTTTAAAAGCCATGTAGTCTATGGTACTTTATTATGGCAGCCTAAGCGGACTAATACAGAATCATACTTACAGTAGGAGATTACATATACCAAACCCAATTCTAGCTTGACTCACCAGTAGTATCTTTAAGTTAAAGAACACTAAAGCTGGTTTTGAGTTTGATTTTTTTTAAGTGCTACCTTTCATAAAATAATTATAGAAAACAAAAATAAATAAATAAATAAGAAGCATGAAAACATAAACAGGTATAGTGCAGGCCTACTGGAATACATCATCAATCTAATAAAAATGGAATAAAAGATACTTACCACCACCAAGAATGTAAGAATCCTGGTGGTTCCCCCAATGTGATGTTTTTTTCCCATCTTATCTAAAATGAATAAAAGAGATATTAAATACTTTCCTAATAATACCTTTTTCCACACATATTACAAAACTATATTTTCCCATTTAAAATACTAACGTAATACATAAGATTTTAATCATTTTCATATTATTCTTTATTCAAGTTCAACTTACATTCAATGTAAGTACTCATTTTACATAGTCATTTGTTGACTGGATAGTTTATGAGAGAAGATACCACCATTACTTTCCTGAATTTGCTTCCCACTGTGCCAGGATTTTCAGGAGAGACTTCTGGAACTTAATATTTCAGGATCTTAAGGCACATCAAAATCACCATTATTAACATCACTATGAAAATCAATTATCACTACCAACCCAGAAATTTGCAAACAACTGGACTTCATATGTGCAACTCGGAAATTACGCCTTAAGGATTGAGTTTTTGAATAAATTCTTGATTTGAGGGAATAAGAGTAAGAAGAGTTTAAAAAAAGAGGGACACCTGGGTGGCACAAGTCAGCTGTGTGTCCGACTCTTGGTTTCTACTCAGGTCAGGTCATGATCTCAGGGTTATGAGATTGAGCTCTACAGCGAGCTCCAAGCTCAGCACAGAGTCTGCTTAGGACTCTCTCTCCCTTTCCCTCTGCCCTTCCCCACTCCCTCCTCCCATGCTCTCTCTTTCTCTCTCTCTCTAAAATAAATAAATAAATCTTTAAAAAAATTTTTAAAGATTTAAAAAAGATGGAAATATTAACTTTCTAAATGTTTATATATATATTTACACATATGTTCATATAATTATATATATTTATATTTCAGATGAGTTGGAGTTCACTATAAAAAATTTAAAAGAAGATAAGTATCTCTGAAAAATTAAAATTTCTGACTAAATACTCTTTACAAATTAAATTCAGAAATTGGAAAACTGGGTAGGTATATATACAGTGCCTTTTCTAAGCACTAATAGCAGTAAACAAAAGATAAAGATCTTTGCATTCAGAAAGATTATACTTTAGTAGAGCAGACAGACCATAAACAAAGAAAAGCAAAAAAAGAGAGAGAGAGAGAGAGAGACTATATTTATATTAGAAGTAGAAGGTGACAAATTATAGGGAGGAAAACAAAGCAGGGAAAGAGGATAAAGAAAATGGAAAACAATAAGAAGTGAGCTATAATTTTAACTAAGGTGATCCAGAAAGCCCTCAAAAACAATCTTTATGCAGAGGGACCTGGCTGGCTCAGTTAGAAGAGCATGCCGCTCACTGAAGAGCATGCCACTCTTGATCTCAGGGTCCTGAGTTCGAGCCCCATGGGGTATAGAGATTAAATAAATAAATAAATAAATAAGAACTTGGGGAAAAAACAACAATCTTTATGTATAAGCATGATTTAGTTTTTTAGTTTAAGTAATTAGGGGTGCCTGAGTGGCTCACTTGGTTAAATGTCCAACTCCTGATTTCAGCTCAGGTCATGAACTCAGGTTCATGAGATCAAGCCCTGCGTAGGGCTCTGCACAGGGCATGGAGCCTGCTTAAGATACTCCCTCTCCTTCTCCTTCTGCCCCTCCCCCACCTGCACATGTGCACGTGCACTCTCTCCCTCTCTAAAAATAATTACTTAAAAATTATTTAACAATATCCCAATCAGCAAACTATGCCCATAGGCCCTTACCATAACTAGGAAGTAAACAACTACATAATTATAGATTTCAAAGAAAAAAAAATCAAGGAATCCTTTCTATCACCTACTATGGAAGAACTTAGAAATTCTTGTCCCAAAAGGATTAAAATAAATAAATAAAAGTTTTAAGATAAGAATTCAGAAAGTGGCCCAAATTGTAAAAAAAAAGTGACTATGGTAAAGATGAAAAATCATAATTAAAATCACTAAAAATCATTTTTTTAGTTCTTAAATACACAAAATGTAGACCAATGGGAGCTTTGAAGTAATTTGCTCTCAAAAAACAAAGAAATTTTCTAAAAATGAGGAAATTATGTATGTGATAGCCATTTTTTAAAAGAGCTAAAGGAAAGATCCTAGGGATTAATGAACTTGAATTCATAAAGACTAAATATGAACAATGAACCAAAACATGTTATAAAAAGCCAGATCCTAATTTGAATTCCCTTAAGAGTAACACAAAAGGGATGCCTGGGTGGCTCAGTTGGTTAAGCGACTGCCTTCGGCTCAGGTCATGATCCTGGAGTCCCGGAATCGAGTCCCGCATTGGGCTCCCTGCTAAGCAGTGAGTCTGCTTCTCCCTCGGACCCTCCCCCCTCTCATGCTCTCTCTCTATCTCATTCTCTCTCTCAAATAAATAAATAAAATCTTAAAAAAAAAGAGTAACACAAATAATTTTTATATCTATGCTACCTTTTATCTGAATTTCCATTAATCATTATTGTTATCTTCTTGGTTCACAAAAAAAATAAGGAATGGTAGTACTTCATGAGTCTGAGGAGAAACAAAACTCTGATGTCCTGCTAAATTTATAATTTCATCAAAAACCTGTGTCTCATCTTTCTCTCAATCTTTTCTCTTACCATTTGTTCACTAATTGATGTCTTCTTGAAAGGGCATAATAATGAATCTTACAGATATGTCCCAGACACATAAGTATTCCTAATCCCTGGAATCATCCTAATTATATACACAGCAAGTTTTTCACAGTAGTGTCACTACATATCTCAGTTCATCCTAACTTGACAGATTATGACTATGAAATAAAGCCAAAAGCACTATGCTCAATTAAAAGGAGAATGTGCGATGACTTACATTACAGTTAAAGTGGCAGGACTAGATCTCAATGCTGGATGGTGCTGGAGGAGGGATTAGACTTAGTCTAACATGAGTCCTACTGTGCTATAGCCAGTGCTCAGCAGTTTCCCTCCTGCACTTCCACGACTTCAACAAGCAACCACCAGCAATTTCAGGAGATAAAGTAATCGAGGAAAATTTTAATTTTAATTTTGCATCCTTATAATAGTCTTTACTACATAAAGTTCACGTTTCTCACTTTAAATCCCAAGTAAGTGGCAGAAGCAGCTAAAACTTTGGTCCATCATATTGAAAATAACACAAAAGCCATCCTTTTATAGTTATTGAATAAACAACAATTAACACTTTAGGTATTTTCAAAGAAGAAATGGTTCTACATTAAGGATGTTTCCATAGTGAATGGTATTTTTTGCCTCCAAACTAATTACTACTATAGGTATTACTTGTTTATAGGAAGCATGAGATGATGCTAAGGAAAACAGAACCCTGGTCTATAGAAAACTAAGGTACATTCATTGCCACATTGTTAGAAATAATGAAAATCAGAAACAACCCGAAAACACTCACCAATTGTAAAATAAATTTTGATACATACTACAGAAGAATATACAATCATTAAAAAGAATATAACACATCTACATGGAAAGAGAGCCAGGTTATATTGGCTTTTCAAGTTGGAGATTTGGAAGATTAGAGAACAATATGTATAGTATAAACTTTTTTTTTAAATGAGTTTTTTACTGGGGGAAGGGGCAGAGGGAATCTTAAGCAGGCTCCATACCTAGCGCAGAGAGTGATGCGGGGCTCAATCTCACAACCCTCAGATCATAAATCAAGTTGGACACTTAACCAACTGACCCAGTCAGGCCCCATAAACCTTCTCTATTTAAAAGAATTTGTTTATATATGTATGTATGCATTTGGGTGTATACATATTAAAGATACCATACCAAACGGGTAAAGGAAGACTTTCATTTTAAAATCATATTCATCTATGTAGTTTAATTTTTTTAGCAGACACGTATTAATGAGGGACATGGTTGAGGAATGGCCTGAAAATACCCCTAAATGTCAATAGCCATTTTAGAAACAATACTGCTATTTATGAAAAGGCATTTTCTGTCATATTGAGTTTCATAGGCTTCAGGCTTTTTTGGGTATTTGAATGACATCTATGCAAACAATTTCTCTCTCTCTCTTTACTCTATTTTTCCTTCTTTCATTACTCCAGCTCCAATATGTATTCTTCATCCTAAGGTTTTTTAAAGTTGTTGAATCATCCACCTCCCTGCCTTCCATCATTTACTCAGCTAAAAGCTGTATTCTCCTATAACTTACAGATAAATCTCAATGCCCATTCCCACTGTCATTTTCTACATTTGAGGGCCTTGTCTGTGATTATACTGTGTCTCTACTATATGACCTGGCATTTTCAGCATTTCTATATAGGTGGAGAGCCAAACATTGAATGAACAAAAAGTATATTGGCAGGGGTAAGACATGCCATTTGGCTTATAAATGATAATTATAATTTACAAATGCCCATACTATCTGATATAGCAATTCTTCTTCTAGGAATTTTTCCTATAAATATGGTCATGTGTGTAAAATTATATATATATATAACAATTTTCAGTAAAGCATTATGTGTAATTGCAAAAGACTGGAAACAACCTAAATGTCCATAAGTAGGGGACTGGTGAAATATATCATGGTACATTTCATAGAATGAAATACCCCACCACCATAAAAAGAATTAGGAAGTTTCATGAACCAGTATAAAACAACTGAAGTCAAACAAATGAAACAAAAATTAAAGCATGTAATAGTGTGCGTAATAAATTAGTATTTATTATAATTTATATATAATTACATTTTTATACAATTTATATATATTTATATATAATTTCTTTGTATAAAGAAAAAATGATACACACACACACACACATATATATATACATGTACACACTTGCTTAACTTTTCATCATTATTTGCTTCCAGCAAGGTATACTGGAAATTTACCTATTTTCTCTCAGCCCACATTCACCCTTCTTTGTCCATTCTACACTAAGTGCTGGGATTCTAAAAATTATATTGCCTGGTTTCCTGTTCAGCTCTGCCATCAGAAGGACGCTAGCTGGAGATCAAATGGCAGGAGGAAGAAGTGAAGCTTCCTGCCCATGGCTCCAAAAGTGAAATAGCTGCTGGCTGTAGCAGCAGTAGCTACAGCAGATACACCAGCTA